GCATGGTAGATGATGTAGATACAACAGATGTACCTCATTTTCCTTGGATGAGCCTCTGATTAGCTCTCACCATCCAACAGCTGGCTTTGGCCAAAATGTTTCAGTGGACTGCTTTGACAGTGAATCATGTTGAGACTAGAGATCCCCTTTCACAAACTGCACTGCTTTAAACACTCGGCCACAACAACCCTTATCACTTAGCTGAGGTGGTTCCTTCTTTCCATTTCTCTCTGGGAAGACATGAACCCCTTTACCTGTCCTACTCTACTCAGTCAGAACATCAACCATAGACACATTACATGCATTAAAAACCTCCATCTGGGACACAAAAGACTCTGTCTGGACTCTCCTGAACACTCAAAACCTTCTATAACTTAGAGCTGCTGAAGCAAAAAGTGTTACAACCAATCCAATATCCACAAAATGTAAGATAATCCACTTCACCCCATCTCCCTGATGATCTAATGGCTAGGATTTGGTGCTCTCACCACCATGGTCCGGGTTCACCGGACCGTGGTGGTGAGCATTAAAAGTACAGACGCTGGTTTGGTGTTTCCTTATATCCTAAATATCAGGAGTAAACATTTATAAGCAGTGGTGGGAAGTAACGAAGTACAAGTACTTCGTTACTGTACTTAAGTACAATTTCCGTGTATCTGTACTTTACTTAAGTAGATTTAATAATGGATACTTTCTACTTTTACTCCACTACATTTAACAGTAAGTATCTGTACTTTCTACTTCACTACATTTCTATACAGCGTTTCGTTACTCGTTACATCCAAGACGCATTTCGTTTTTTTTTATTTGTTCGTTAGTTTTAAAGTATCCAATGGCGAGAGCAGAATCAGTCCGCTGAAACAATCCAAAGCGGGAAATAACCATTAGGCCCTCCCTCAAGAAGAGCAGCACAGTACGCAGGACCTGCCGAATCATTAACTCCCAGAATGGAGTCCAAGGATAATCGTCCTCCAGAAGACCTGCACCACCCATGGCCTTATTTTAAAAAGTTTTATGTAATCTTAGCAAGCTTTTTGTTGAACTCGACTGCAGTAAATAAATACGATTACTGTATATTGTTATAAGCTAGCATGAACTTCCAAGTAACAGTGATTACTGCGGTCGTGATCACGTCTCCAGCCATGAATGTTACATATAAGTTGACGCTAAACTCCTTCACGTCCTGGTTATTATATAAATGTTAGCGCCATTAAAATAATCGCCATGTAACAGTTACAGTCATATTCAATAAATTAGAAGGTCATCCCTGGAATTCTGATGCATAGAATGAAATATCTAAATCTAAACTATCACAGGGGGGAAACACAATAAAAACATGCTTTATCTGCAGCATTGCTCATTAAAATGGTACATTACTGATTTTTTCAAACTAAATACGATAGGTACACTTAATGACATTATATAAGCCGTTAGGTATTATGGTTGGCAAGTACTTTTACTTTTAATACTTAAGTAGTTTTAAAAGCTTGTACTTTCTTACTTTTACTTAAGTAAAATAATATTGTGGTACTTTGACTTTTACTTGAGTACATTTTTGTCTGTGTATTTGTACTTTTACTTAAGTACATTGTATGAGTACTTTCTCCACCACTGTTTATAAGTATCACTTTAAAAGTTACTTACGTTTTTTTGGTGCCTATTTGCTTCCCAGATATATTAGTGTGTGTGTGAATGGGTGAATAAGATGCATTAACTTAAAGCTCGTTGTAGAAAGGCGATTTACGGGCAGTTCTGCCACATCCAAGATGGCGGAGTCTACGTATATACGTGTCTCTGCACCTAAATATCTCATGGTGAAAGGGCATCAATTTTAAAAAGTATGTTCTAAAAGTTGCTAACTAAAGTCGTTGTTTCGTATACCACACCAACACCTTTATTGGATTAAATTAAACCAAAATGGCTCGAGCCGTGCTAACTACAGCTAGCTCGTGGTTGTTCTAGCATGGTGGCTACAGGTTATGTCACGGTAAGGAAGGAAAATGTCACAGCAATATAATTAAACGGCTTTGAATCAATTATATTAAAGATATGTATGAAAATTAAGGTGATATTTTAACCAACATTTGTGATATTTTAAGCCCAAGGTGGCAGAGAGCCGGGCTGAATTTAACTTACCCCCCAGCAAAGAAATGAAGCGCCGTCTCTCTCTGGGCCAGTGAAAGGCCTTAATCTAGTGTATCTATTACCCTATCACTGAGTAAATGGGGTCCTGTTGGAGAGAGCAGGGCCTATAGGCACACTAAATACACACCAGTGGGACAGAGGTCATTCAGCTTTTTAAATGCAGCAACTTTAACATTTAGGTCAAGTCCAATCCCCCCTTCCGAAACAGCTCTCAGGTTTGACTTGATTATTTTCCTTTATGTAAGGATTTGAATCAACTAAACTGTCAACCTTGTCTCTCACAGTAGAAAGGATCTCTGTGTCCACCATAAAGTGCTGTTGTTTACCATAAACAGTCACTGACATGGTCATGAGGCTCTTCTTCTGATTGTGTTGAGCGTGGTGATTTCGGTGGAGTGAAGAGAGTGGCTCGTTGGTCTAGGAGTATGATTCTCGCTTAGGGTGCGAGAGGTCCCAGGTTCAAATCCCCGGTATGAGCCCTTATGACAAATACAATAGTAATAGGAAAAGCACTGTATAAACAAAACAAAAAAAGTGCTTCAAATGTTTAATTATCTGAAGAGAATTAAAAAGAGTATCCATCTGATGAAGTTGAGAAAGCTACTGAGGTCTGTTTCAAAAAGATTAGTCAACATTACTTGTAATTTCCACTTGACCCCAAATAAAGTTTAATAGGATACCAATAAAACATTGGCCGGGTTCGATTCCCGGCCAATGCATCTAACCTTATATCAACTTGTGATTGCTACCTGTTTTTTCTTAAAAAGTTCTGTCACAGACAGAAATGCTCGATCCTACTCATTTTCCAGAGACATAGGAAAGATTGACTGCTATTTCTGACCTCAACACGCTACTGACTAAGACCACTGCATTTCTTTACATTGTGTAAGGTCTACTTTTCCCCACAAATCCGTATAATGAAAAGCCCAGGGCCAAAGCATGACAAAGCTCCAGTTGGAAGCTGGCTCCCTTATGGGGAGCAGAAATAACTCGTGTTTACTTGCTATTTTTATTTGTTTCTTCCATCCATCCATCCATTATCAATACCGCTTATTCCCTGTCTGGGGTCGCGGGGGGAACTGGAGCCTATCCCAGTAGCCAATGGGGAGAAGCATGGTACTGAAAGGTCTTTCACTGAGAGTCAGAGCAACTTCACTCACTTTCAGGAACTACAGGCTGACATCACAAAATCTTTGCTCTCTGCACTCTGGTTAGAATCCAACAAACAATTTCCTTTGGGATCAATGATGTATCAAGTAAAGTTGAGTCATTTCAAAGTCCTGCCTCCTCCTGCATGTTAGCATTAGATATCCTTCTGTATCTTTGTTCATTATGTCCACTGGAGAGTCATTGGTGGAATCGTGAAAAAAAAAAATCATCGTTTGTCTCAGAAACAGGAGCAAATGCAAATCTAAAATCTTAAAAGAAAGTGAACGACTTCCGGCTGAATGGCGGTGGAGTAAGTTGTGTCTTGGCATGCTCCTGCGGGGTTAGCTGCTTTTTGTTCATTATTACCTGGCACTTTTTCTCGACTTCGACTTCAAGCGATACGTAACCTATACAGTGAACACCATCTTTCTTTTTTGGATACTAAAATGCCACCAAAGCCTGTTAAAGGAGAAAATTCGATTCAGTCCCACCTGCGGCCGGGTCTTCGTGGTGAGTCCTCGACCTGTGCTGAGTCGTCACCTGGGCCGGGGGCGGCGGCCCGTGCCGCTGCAATTAGTGACACCAGCAGTCTTAAACAGGAGCTGCTTGCGGCTCTCCGGGAGGACTTTACCTCTGTACTTAAAGCAGAGTTTCATGCTGTTATTGGTGAAAGTCTTTCTTCGATTAAATCCGAGCTGCTATCCTTCAAGAAGGAACTGTCCTCTGGCCTCACTGCGGTGCAGGAGAGTTTTACTGGGCTAAACATAACGGTTGCTGGGATGGAAAAATCCCTGTCCACCTGCACTGATGACATCGTTAGCCTCCGGAAGACATTAGACAGCCTTACTAAAACTGCGGCACAGTTGGAGGATAAATGTGATGACTTGGAGTCCTGGTCCCGGCGTCAGAACATCCGCATCATTGGAGTCCCGGAGGATGACCCTTTATCGGCCTCGACGGCTGTGGTCTCTCGGTTGCTGAAGGAAGCCTTCGGTTTCGCCGAGGAACCGTTGGTAGACCGCGCTCACCGTATCCCGATCCCCAAACCCAAGGCAGGTGAACGCCCTCGCCCCATCGTAGCTAAGCTACATTACTACACTGACTGTGTGAAAATCCTGTCGAAGGCAAGGGACCTGCAGCGGATCAAGATGAACGGTATGACTATCTTCGTTTTCCCCAATTATACTGTCAGGACGGCCCGAGCACGAGCTCCGTGGCATTGAGGGGGTCCGGTTCGGCTTGCTTCATCCGGCCCGATTGCGGATTACCCATGGGGGAACTACGCGAGTTTTCACCTCTCCGGAGGAAGCCAACATCTACATCGGGTCTATTACCAAATGAGAACTATAATTACAAAGATTTGTTTCACATTCTGGGGACTTTGTTTAGTCTGGTTAAGTAATATTTTCACATTAAGGAGAATTGGGAAGTAGGAAAAGAAAAGGAGAAAAAACAAGAAAAAACGGACTGTTTCGAAATGGTTGCAGTTTACTTGTGTATT